AACTGGGTTCGGGGGGAAAAACAGTTCAGTGGCTGAAAGCAGAGGCCCGAGCATCACACTGCCCACTGGTACGCTTCCTGATTCCACCACACTTACTGCGTGATCTTCTGCAAGTTCCCTAAATTTCCTGTGCCGTGGTTGCCTCATCTAAAAAAGCAGAGTAATAAGATTACCTATTAGGGTTGGTATTGGATAAAATAATGTATACCTGTAGCACTTAGTTAAGCATATTATAAATGTTGGCTGTTATTATTGCTGAGAACTTTCTCTCAATGACGTTGCCAACCCTGTGGGTTTGGACGTACAAGAATCAGCAGGACTTTGTGATGGAAGTTGTGTATACATGTTAAACACCTGCTTTCCAGGTAACGGTCGTGACTCTTAATTGAACTCAGAGGCTCATTTATGTGAGCTAGTCCCTCTTGCATATTAGCCTGTTTTACATCTACTGTGAGGATTAGAGTCTGTGCGTCAACCAGCGACGCACTGCAGCTTGATCCTGGCCCCCTAGAGGACAGGGAAGTCAATAGCAGGAGCCAAGTCTACACAGACAAGAAGTACTTCATGTTAATGCAGAATGTGAAAATCTTCAGGTGAGTCTGGAGCCATTGAATCTCTTGGCCTAGGTTCCTCATCAGGAAAATGGGGTAATAATGACTCCCTTATAGGATCATGGTGGAAATCAAACACAATAATAGCACTGTGAAATCTTATCAGTTTAGATAGACCTGCTTTATTGTGGGACTAATAGTAGGAGTAATAATTCTCTTCAACAATTCTCTTTGAGAGAGACCAGCTTGGGTTAGAAGACTGCAGCAGGACTCGCCCTTACAGTCTAAGTAGCCAGCAGAGTCTGGCCATCATTCTCACCCGGTATTCTGACACAAAGTAGCATTTCAGAAGCTCAGTATGTAAAGCAGTATTTGGCTCCAGGCTAGATGACAAACTTGTACCCTCGGTCTAGGAAAGGAGCTCTCTGTTAGCTAGTGGAACTAGAATTTCTCTCCTGTGCTTTGAAAAGCAGATAATAGGTGCTAATGGCAACATAACCTAGGACCTTATCAGAATTTTCCTCCAACCTCCTCCTTTCTTCTCCCTCCCCAGGTCCTTGCTCCAGGGGCATTCTCATTGTGTGCGGGCAGGTGAGGCTTGCCTTTTTTTTTTTCTTCCATAATCACCTAGGAATGCTGCCTTCAGGAACCTAAGGCTGTTGTTCTATAAAAGCTGAGCGGAGCTCTCAGTTCAGTACATTGAAGACCTGCAACCTGCCTGCTCACCTTCTCCGGTGTCCTGTCCTCCACCGCCCGCACCATGATCAGGGAGGTCCTCGTCCTCTCTACCTGGCTCATCTTGGCTGAAGCTCTCCCCTTGACACTTCCAGGTAAGTGGACCACAGGGAAGTCTTTTGGAGAATGGGGCTAAAATCCTCTCATGGTGTGCGTGCCTGTGTATGGGGGAGAGGGGACCAGGGGGGTGGTGGCGGAGAGAGCGAAAGATATGTAATAAACAGTGTAATGTGAAATGGGTAAAAGCCTTATGGACTTGGTGGGGATAGGAGGCTGAACTCTGAGGCCTTGGATAATGGAGTGGCTAAGCTCAGATTTGGGTTGTGTGTTTGAATTGACATCATAAAGGTTAAAAAGCCTGAGCCAGATGGGATTAGGGTAGGTGATTAGAGAGCTGCCGAGGATTATCTGTGTTCTCCTTCACTATTGGGTGCTAAAGATGCTTTAGTTAGTGCATGTTAAAAGGTTTTAGGATGTATCCTCATTTCACAGCAGAGTAAATTTCAAAGTGCTTTAGCATCCAGCTCGGTCACACGCGCTATGGAGACCAATGTCTGGAATGGAAATTTGTGAATCACACCAGGAAAGGAAAGAAGGTGTCTTCCTGGACTAGAGAAAGGAAGCTTTCCCAACCCCCACCCCAAGGCTTTCTTTTCTAGTCCTTCCTGTTTAGTTCTTAGGAGGACAGCTGTTCACTCATTTGCTTTAAAATCGTTACTTTCCCCATTCTTCTCCTGCTTCTCCCTCTGGTAGCTCTCATTCTATCAGTGACTAGGATTGGGTTTTTTATTGTATGTGAATGAATAATAAAGTGACGTGACTAAATGAAACAGCTGATGACTCTGGCCACGTAGGCAGGATGCCCCTAACCTGTTGAACCAGGCCACCATGATGACTGTGTCTTCCACGGTCACCCAAGGAGCTCCTGGCTGTGCCCTCATCAGGCTTGCATGGTTGGGGGCTTATAGGGTCAGCAAGCACCCAGCCGTCTGGACTGGGCCATTGATGGGGCACTGTGGAAGGTGAAATCCTGGATATTTAATGAACAAATGATAGGAGGAGCCCATTATAGAGTTCATTCCATTCTTTTTTTAAAAATTGAATTAGGGTGACAACAGTTAATAAAATGATATAGGTTTCCGGTATGCTATTCCATAATACACCATCTGTGTATTGTATTTGCCACCCCAGTCAAGCCTTTCCACCACTTTGGGCCCCCCTTTCACCTCTTCGACCTTCTCATCCCTCTGTTATATTCTTGATAGGTGCCTTGGGAATAGCTATTTCCCTTGCTTCTTGCTCCTCTTTGTTTTTGTTTTAAGTTTTCAGAAACCTTGGAAGGATTATAGAGGAGTCGTCTTTGGAATGTTTATTCTGTTCCAGTCTGTCTAATTTACATTTAGAGACACAATATCAAATGTTTCTTCCTCAACCGACCCTTCAGGGAGGGTGACATAGGGGACACACAGCATCTTCCTGGTGGCAGTACTCTGGACTTTCTAGCAGTTGGTTAAAGAGAGACTTGTGGTGAGACCACATTTGATTCATTCTATGAGGTTATGGCTGTGTTTTCCTCAGAGAAGTTCTCACTGGGAATGGGAAGGGTGTGGAGGTAGTGGAGATACTCTTGCTTTCTAGTGTTTGAGCCATTTTTTTCCCCTAGACATCATCAATGATGCAGATGTTTTCGGTGACCTGAAGTTAGAGGCTGAACTAAAGCCAGCTGCTGATTCAGAGTCAACCACTGGCCTCGACCTCACTGATGTTGTAGAGCTGTTCATTAACCTTGGCCCCATGGATGCTGTATCGTCACCCGTTGTCCTTGACCCCACTGATGCTCTTAAGTTGAACACTGGCCTTTACGTCACTGGTGCTGAAGTGCCAGCTGTTGACCTTGACCCTGCTAATGCTCTTAAGTTGAACACTAGCCTTCACCTCACTGGTACTGCGGTGTCAACCGATGACCTTGACTCCACTCCTACTGTAGAGATGACCATTGACCTTCTCCCTGTTGGTGCTGTCGAGGGGACCACTGATGCTAATTTGAAGGCTGCACAGATTTTGAGTAAGTAAGGGTTCTGACTTCAGAGGACTACTGGGCCAGAGTTGGTGGGCTCCCATCTTTGGCACGTCTGGGGGAAGGGCTGTTTTCTTTCAGCGTACTGGATTCCCAGCATAAGGTGTGACCATGCCCACTTCCCATTTTGTTTTCCTAGAATTTTTTGCTGATGTGGAATCAAATATCACCAGCTTTATGGAAGAAATCACTGACGGGGCCACAGGTAAAAATCCATGTCTTCAAAAATGCAGAAATTTCTCCCTGCCTCCATATCCTTATTGATAGCTCATTGTATAGGAATGTCCCCTGATAACTTATACATTTGGAGATACCTTGTTGCTTTGTTCTGTGAGGTGAACTAAACTTTGTCAAAAGTTCTTTGAAACTGGAGGAAAATTGAAGCATTTTCTGAGTGTCAGGAGATGGAACCATTTGAATTCCAACAAGTTCCAGCTAGGTGGCCACCCTGCCTGGGTGTCCAGGACCATTCTGCTGGGCTTCTCTAAAGAGGATGAGTTCCTCGGTCTCCAAGCAGTTGATGGATGTGGTAGCAAGAAGGGGGTTAGCAGTTTCCTTTTCTTTTCCAGTTGATTACAATTCAATTTACACAGGGAACTTTATGAATGAAGATTATGTAAGTGTGAATCTTATTTGAATTTAGGCTGAACAGAAGGAAAAGGGATTTGAAAGCTTCATAAATGAAGCATTGGCCCTATCTCTGCTCATCTCTCTGTCAGGCCTTCATCGTCTTTCATTGTTCTGCCTGCCCCTTAGCCACAGAGTCACAAGATTTCGATGCCTCTGCCACAATCAACAAAACCCAATAAATCATGGGGGTGCCTCTATTTTTGCTAAGAATGTGCCCTGGGCCTTACCTACAAAAACAAATTTGAAACAATCTGATTCTTACATCTACAAATAATAGCTAACATTCGTTGAGATTTACTACATTCCAGCGCTGCCCTAAATGTATTGGGGAAATGTAGGTAGTAGTTGCAGGAATCTAGAAATTGTATTTTAGTGGTGGCTGCGGAGCCTGTTAAAAGAAGGGTTGGTTCTCTGGCTTCAAATTCTTTTCCACTACTTTTATCTTCCTCACAGAATGCACCTCATTTTCGAAATGAAGCTCTGTCTCAGTATTGTGCCCCAACTGCCCATCCTGTAGTTGTTGATTAATGAGTTAATAAAAGCTAATGCTGTACCTCACCCTAACCCTCCCATTTTTACCCCCATGCCTTTTACCCCCAGCACTAGGAAAATTCTCATGTTTGGACTATAAGTGCAAGACACAGCCTTGTGGTCCAGATCCATCTTGTCATTTCTGCTAGAATGACAAAGAGCTGGACCCCAGCTCTAAATAAAAGAGCTAAGTAAAAGAATTGGACCCCACAGACTGCTCATCAAGAGATGATTTCTGGCCATGGCAATTACCAATGAACTGAGAAGTGCTTTTTGTTTGTTCTTTATTGTAATGTAGTTGTTTATTTTTTCCAGTTTCATTGAGGTATAATTGACATATAACATTGTATATGTTTAAGGTATACAATGTATGATCTGATAATATGTTTAGATTGAGAAGCTTTGGTGTTTAATAGGAAGAGAAAATTCATGGAGGTTTTAACCTTTAAAATTAAGAAAATGACGTCCTTATTTCTAGCAAGTGGCACTGATGATTATGTGGATTTTGAAGAGGTCCTGACTGGAGAGTTAGGTAAGAACAAAGATCTTCAAATATTTTTCCTGTTCTTGGTCTTTGAGGGATTTTTTTTTTCTTCCAGGCTTTTTAGGACAGAGTCAACAAGTGGGGCTTGGTGGGGGCGGTGCAGGGGGCGGTCCTCTGCCCACAATTACACCGCTCTCGGCAGGCACATGCTAGCTTAGCTGCATCGTCTTTTGGGGAGAAGACAGGATAGGGCTGTTGCACATGAAGACATGGCCGGTCCTTGTGTTCCTCTCAGGGACTGCCAGGTGTGAGTGGAGACCAGCCCTTTACTCAAATGCTGCTGGAGTGTGTTTGCCTTATATTCCCATAGGCAGGACTTCAGGCCTGGCAGAGGCGTGGTGGGTAGGAGAAGGGTGGTTTTGGTGCCACAGAGTTGGTAGAGTCCCCGTTTACTAGGGCTGCTTGAGGCTGTTAGCTGAATGCTAGACACACTGTGAGTAGCACTTACTGCAAATGGATAAAAACCATTTTTTTTCCTCAATTGCAGAGGAGCCCAACACCTCCAGAGAAAGCGACGAGTTCATCTCAAAGCTTATGTGTAAGTGTCTTCTCTCCTGCCCGTGATATCTTATTAAGGATTTGACACCATTTTCAATGCTGGTTTCAGGCCAGTGGGTAAGAATCCCAAACTTAAAAGCCTTCCAGGATGCTGAGACCAGCTATAAAATCTAATAATGAAGGTTAAAGACAACCTCTTGTCTCTCTGATGTTTAGCTTCCCAGTCTAATTGTCTGGAATTTTAGTAATCAAACAGGCATAGGATACACAATTTCTCTCCCTCGATTTTTCTGGGATTTCTCTCTTCCCATTTCTTTAGGATGTGGATTTCAGTTCAACCCATGGAATCTTTTAAAGGGAGCGCCTGCAGAAAAGGCATCGGATTTCCCCGAGCATAGAACATATAATTCAGTTAAAAACTGTAAAGCCTAGGAGCTCTGAATCAGGAGGTACCAGTTTTGATACTTAGCCTCGTTCTTGGCTTTTTTAGGATTCACTAACATGGTTTCTTTGTGCAGTCAAATGGACAGCTAGACTGTGTAGAAATATCTCACTTAAGGCAGAGAGAGAGAGAGAGAGAGAGAGAGAGAGAGAGAGAGAGAGAGAGAGAGAGAGAGAGAGAGAATAAGCAATTAGACCTTAAAGAAATTTAGTCACATGCCCAAGGGCAGAGAAGGAAGTGGGAAAGATGAGCCTCAACTTTTGAGCACACCAGGTTCTCTTCTTTCTGTTGTAATGCCTGTTTTTCAATTTTATTTTTTATTTTAGAAAATAAAGCAGATTGTCCATCTACTGTGATCTTTGCTCTGTTAGCCACAGCTTTCTAAGAAGATTCTGAGCTTCTGCAGACGCCTACTATTCCATCATAAAAGTTTGAGTAATTGGAAAACACTAGTGAGCCACAGAATACATGCGGCCGAAGATGCACACAGTGACGAGAATGGTCCACAGACAGAGGGTGCACATTTCCTAACCACATTCCATTGAACACAGGATCAATAAATGCATATTTGAAATGAATTTTGAGACGGGTTTTTATTTCATGTGACCACAGACTCCTTTGTTGCCTTGTGTTAGTACCAGTAATCCTGTTATTCCTCTTTGACGGAGACTTTGTAACCAGGCTCCAGTGCTTCATGGTCATAGGAAAGCATGAAATGAACCTATGGAAAGTATATTAGTTTTTCTAGGCCTGAAATAACAGTTTTCCACAAATTTAGGAGCTTAAGGCAACACAGACCTGTTATTTTTAGAGTTTTGTAGTTCAGAAGACTGAAAGGCATCTCACTGGGTTAAAAGCCTTGTGTCAGCAGGCCGAGTTTCCTTGTGGGAGGCTTTATGGAAGAATCCATTTTCTGTCCCTCTTTCCTTGGCTTTCTTTCAACTTCGAATCCAGCAGTGGCTGGTTGATTCTCACACTGTACCACAGAGCCACTGACACGGACTCTACTGCCTCCTTCGTCCACACACGAGGACGTTTGGCTAGTGCCTGGATCATCCAGGATAATCCCCATCAGGGGCGTCCAACCCGCGGCCTGCGAGCTGCATGCAGCTCAGGATGGCTGTCCAGAGTGCAGCCCAACACAAAATTGTAAATTTATTTAAAACATTATGAGATTTTGTGTGTGTGTGTGTGTGTGTGTGTGATTATGTGTTGCAATGTATTTAATGTGTGGCCCAAGACAACTCTTCTTTCTGTGTGGCCCAGAGATGCCACAAGGTTGGACACCTCTGCTTCAAGGTCATTTGATTGGCAACTTTAATTCCCCTTTGCTTTGTAATGTAACACATTCACAGTTTCTGGAAATTAGTAGGTGAGATAAACTTTTTCTATATAAAAATCAGAATTGACAATGCTTTTCCTTCACTTCTTAAAAAAGATTGTGCTACTTCCTGCTGTCTTTCACGTTTGATGTTTTCTCCTGCCATTTATATTGTTTCCCTCTGGAGAAAGGTTGTTTCTCTCACTGTTTTCCAGATCTTTCCTCTGTCTATATTATCAGATATTTAACTGTTATGTGTCTTGATGTGAATTTCTTTGGGTTTATTTTCATTGGACTTCGCTTGTCTTTTTAAATCTTAAGGTTTATGTGTTTATTTATTTTTTACCAGGGTGAGACATTTTCAGTCGCTATTTCTTTGAGTTGTTTCTCAGGCCTGCCCTGTTCTCCTCTCCTTGGATGACACACATATTAGGCCTTTGTTATAGTCTCAGGGGCCCCTGAGCTCTGTTGATTTCCCCCTCACCCATTTTCTCTCTCTATTTGGATGGGGTAATTTCTGTTTTTCTGTCTTCAAGTTCATTGGTCTTTCTCCATCTGCTGTTGAGTCCATCCATTAAGTTTTAAAATTTTGATTATTATAATTTTCAGTCCTAAAATTTTCTTTTATTTTATACATTTCAATTTTTGCTGACACTTTTTCTTGCTGAGATTTTCTATTTTTTTCATTTGTTTTAAGCATGCTTATAATTGGTCATGGAAGCATTTTTATGATGACTGCTTTAAAATCTTTGCAGATAATTCTAACATCCCTGTTATTTTCATTCTGGCATCTACCAATAATCTTTTTCATTCAAGTTGAGATTTTCCTGATTCTTGGTTTGACAAGTGAGTATTTTCATTGAACAAGGATATTTTTTTGAGATGCTGAGGATATATTATGCAAGGATATATTATGAGATGCTGAATTTTATGTAGCTCTTCTGTCTTAGCTGGCTTCCTCTGATACCACTCCAGCAGGAGAAAGATAGAGGCACTGCAATAGTGCTGGGCTGGGCAGAAATACATGTCTCCTGCTCAACAGGGAGGGATTCCTCATCATTGCTGGGTAAGGAATGGAATCCTGGCACCCCACTAGACCGCTTCTAATCCTACACTGTCTGGGAAGAGTAAGAGTGCCTTGTTATTGCTTCTCATGTGGTCTATATTGGTATCACCCCAGTGTAGGAAGGAGAGTGCTTCTTCATTGAGTGACGTGGGGTGAGGTACAGACTCCTCTCCTAGTCTCCATTGATGCTGTGGGTTAGGGACACTCAAGCTGCTAGGTGAAGATGAAGACTCCAGTTCCCACTTGACCCTCTCTGGCACTACTCCGGCAGAGGACTGGGGCACCTTGTTACATACAGCTGTGGAAATCTTAGTTCCCCACTTGGGTCATAGTTTTTTCCATGGTGTTTGACTAGTAGAGTGGCTATTGTCTAAATGTTTTCTGTCTTGCTAGGCTGTTTCTGGGTCATTTGGCAGGAGAGAATAGGCTTTTGTTGGGGCTTTTTTCATTTGTGTCTGTTGGTATTTTTGTGTTGCTGCATTTTTCAGCTACAAGTCAGAGGTTTATAAACTACCCCCACCCTGCCACAAACAAAAAGAAAAAAAATCTAGAGAACTTGCCATTAGGTTGTTTCTGGGTCCCTGGGTCCCTTCCTATCTCAACTGTCTTATTCTCTCCAGCTTTCACAGCCTTCTTATGTCTGGGGCTCTTAGTTGTATGTAGTGGAAAGAATAGGAAAAAGTGTGTATGCTCTATCTTTCTGGAAGTGACACTTGGTTTATTTTAGATACAAATAAAGAAGAAGCAGGTGATTTTTAGGAGAAACTGTGCTTAATTTTCCATATTGAAACACCTTAGGGAAGATTACTTGGATATACCACTCCTCACTGTATAGATAGAGAACAGACTGAGTCTTGAGTATATCAAGATACAGAATTATTGGCATTTAAATGAAGAATAAGACTTAGATATCATTAATGTTCACAAGCCATCAGATGATACATTATGATAGATTCACCATTATCGTTCCTTTTAGATGGAGCTTCTGCTTTCACTACTTGTGAAAAGAGCAGCTACTTATGAAATCATATTTTTTTTTGATAATTCATTTTTAGAAGGTTGTCATGAGGGAGATAGAACAAAATCACCTCTTTGAATAAAATAATAAATGAAGGAGTTTGCATTTGTTCCTCTTTATTGCCATATACCACAATAGGTGACTTAACATACATTATGCACTTAACTCATAAATAATCCTGTCACATTATCTGACAACTTGGGATAAAAGTATAAAACTTATACAAATCCTTAAACTTTTTCATATAAATCAATTTTTGATTATGACAGGAAGACATTTTTCAATGTAGAAAATGGGTTAGTGTGACTAAAACGTAATTTTAAATTTTATTTAATTTTAATTAATTTAGATTTAGACAACTGCATGTGGCTTGTGAGTACTGTGTTAGTGTAGATCTAAAGAAAATGGGACTATACATCAAATAAATACATTAATGAATGTGTAATTATAAGAATTTAGAAGGAAATGAACATGATTCCATGCAAGTTTATAACAAAGGGATCTGGGTAGGCATTAACTAGGCAAAGAGAAGGCGGAACGTGGAGAACATGCTAGAGCATGGAAGAGAATACATGCTCTGGAGGGAAGGAGCAGGAAGGACAGACAGAAGTGGCAATTCTGCAGTAGGGAACAGAGGGGAGAGTGAGATCTGAGATGTGTCTGGAGAGGGAGGACGGGACCAGATCATGCCAGCCTTGATGGCCACCTGCAGAATTTTAGTCTCGATGGTAGTAGCTCTTGGGAGTTTTAAAGCTGAGGCTGGCAGAAGATTATTATATCATCACACATATGGTTCAAAAAGCTTACTCTGACTGCAGACTCATCCTGGAGAAGGATTTGGAGGGGAAGGAAGAATGATTACAGGTCACCAGGTGGGAGATTGTAGCATGCAGGTGAGCAAGGCAATGGAGTTAGAGAACAGTGGATAAAATGGAGAAAAACTTAGAAAATTGAAAAAAGGGACAAAAGTTGGTGATGGATTTTTTATGTCAAATGAGACGGAACCAAAGCTATAGATTTTATATTACACTCATGGTTGAATGGTGGTCTCCAAAGTTAGGGCTACCAGATTAATTTATTTTGGAAATATTGAGTGATGCCTTTAAAATATTCAAATGAAGATGTCAAGTAGAAGTAAAGCTCAGTAGAAGTTTTGGCAAGGGATACAACTTTGTATTATTGGTACATATATGATAATAGAAGTTTTATTGAGCTATAATTAACAAAACTATATATTTAAAGTGTGAAATGTGATGATTTGATATACATATACATTATGAAATGATTACCACAATCAAGTTAATTAACACATGCATTAACTCACATAGTGGCTTTTTTTTAGAATGAGTTTTTTTTTAAGATTTTATTTTTTAGAGTGGGGAAGGGAGAGAGAAAGAGAGGGAGAGAAACATCAATGTGTGGTTACCTCTTGTGCACTCCAAACTGGGCACCTGGCCTGCAACCCAGACATGCACTCTGACTGGAAATTGAACTGGCGACCCTTTGGTTCGCAGGCCTGCACTCAATCCACTGAGCTGCACCAGCCAGAGTGGAAGACAGTGTTTTAAATTAGGCAGAATTATAAACAATGTCTATCATTGCTGAAAGCAAGTTAAGATAAAAACTGAAAAATATCCATTGATTTTAGCAACCTGGAAATTATTGGTTAGCTAGTATTAACTGTTTAAGTGGAATAATAGGAATGGAAGTCTTGGTTTACAAGCCTTTGGCAGCCATCTGTTTTAATTTATTAGCATATTGCTAAAATTGTTTCCTAGGATATAACTGAGAGTGACATATAGTTTTGTTGTAAAAACCATTTTTTATCCCCTTTATCCTTAAAGACCAACCCCAAACAAAAACAACAAGAAACAGAAATGCAAACATCATGTTTGATAAAGCTTATAGGACAAATATTAGCCGTAATGCACTGAAGACTGAAAACAGACAGAATGGTAAATAACGTAACAGAAAGGATAAAATACTCAAGTACCTGTGGAAATCTAATTTGGGGTGAGTGGTACCAAATAGACATATGCTGGTTGATCTTACAAATCCTTGGCAGGGCT